ACTACCAATGCTTTAACTTTGAGCAAATACTATAGTTGCTTACAATTTGTGATATATAAATATACATACATAGACAAATATATATATATATATATATATATATATATATATATATATATATATATATATATATATATATATATATATATATATATATATATAAACGAATGATAAGATTGACGAATTACTGCTTATTGCTATTCGTAAAAATACCACAATTGCGTACTGAAGCTAAAACGAACGCGGCCATTATTTGTAAGAGTGTACTATGTATTATATCACCCTCGAGTTCCCTTTTTTACCCACAATTACTCCTCTACTAACCCTACTCTCATGTCCTGCTGCCACCACCAAAATGTGACAACACAGCAACGCTAACACCACCACGCACGCACGCACCAGCCGAACGCATCGCCCGCGTCCGAAACCCTCGTCCCAGGTCTTCGAACCGCCACTTACCTGTCCACGACGAGCGCCACCTGTTGCCACTCGAGCTTGATGGTGTCTCGCCGGTCCTGCTCGGCCAGTCGTATTTCGTTCTTCTCGATGGTCTGGTACACTTTGTTCAGCACGCGGAGGAAGTGCCGCTCGAAAGTGTCCAGGCAGGGGTGGGTCGAGGGGCAGGCGTGCTGGCCGTGCAGACCGCCGGTCACTCTGGAACGGCAGGAAGGCTTTTAGTCGAGAGCGAGGGCTAGGGTTGAGACGTCGGGGGGGCTTTGGGGCGTAGCCTTGACAGGAAGCTCTAAAGGACTTTGGGTTTAAGGTCAGTCATCGCAGTCGTGCTCAGGCGAACTCGGAATACGCAGTACTTCACGCTAGAAAGGTGGAGCATGCAGTAACTCGGAATATGCAGTAGTTCACCGGAGCGCTTGGTCGTGGGACGGGAATTTTGTAATCTCTATAACGCCCGAAGGAGCTATCACACGAAAACCGTGTACCTTTTACTTTTTCGCGTACTTTTTTATAATCAAGGGCCACACATTGTGCACATCCTATCACACGAGGATGTGAGTTAATCCATACGAGGAATTTAGCTCACAAGCCCCTATTTCTTGAATATAATATTGCATAAGACTGTATAATAAATTTCTAATGCGATCACGAATGTACACAATTTTAACTTAATAGACTCTTAAATTCACATATTTAACTTAAAAAGTCTATTTGTATCGCAAAGAATAAGAGAATAAGCAAGAATCAATAAAAGAACAAGAAGCATTCAAAAGCGCATACCTCCGCTATGAAAATATCCACACTTAGAGAACTATTAAAATCACTTTTCTCAAGTACACAGGTGACGTCCGTAAACATATCCTAAAAAAATTCCTGGATCCAGATCACGAACCGAATCTCCACCAAAATGGAATGTAAATTAGGCTCAGACACCTCTGATAATTTTTCCATAAAACTGTTCACAACTTTTTGTTATCCTGCTAACAAACGAACAAATAATATCCGGATCGCTATCATTTAACGGCATCTGTTAGGCTAAGACACATTTCTGGTAAAAATTTCTGAAAATCTATTAAAAACTTTTTGTATCCTGCGTACTGCGCCTTGCCATGGCCCTTAAAACAAATTGATTTGCTCTCTCAAAGTTGGTCAATAAAAAGAATCTTTAAAGAATTTATTCGATCCTCTGGTCTGGGACCCCTTAAATGACGCCTGCCTTTCCTTGTCAGCGTCCTAACTGTGCTCACCTTAGAAGCTTCCAGGACATACAGTGAGAGGAGTATGAAGGATAATGAAGCACAAGAGATGTATTTCACACGCTTCGATAGCACATGTATTTCCGATGGTGATTTAACCGTACCGCTTCAAATGCATCTCTTGCGCTATGAAGTTGTTGATCCTCCTCCAACCCTTTTTTCACATTTGTCACAGTGAACTCTGTCCGAAGCAGCGTTCATTGTACCGTGCTTTAACCCGGTTGCTTCGTAACCTATATAGCGAAAACTAAACCAAAGCCTCTTAAATTAAATCCGAAGGCAAGAGTACTTTTATATCACAGCTTTAGATCCGCTCGAGCAACTTTAATAAAGTGCTTGGGGTGCTTTCGCCTGATCCGTCTCACCCGATATGAAACGAAAAATGAAACGGCGTCATTCATAAACGTCTCTTCTGATAACCCTAAAGCGTGAGAGAGTAAGTCCCGAGTTCAATAACCACAAGAAAGATACGATAAGCATAAAGAACTAAACTGGCTGCGTGTATCTTTAGCGAACACACGCCGTGCCAGGATTAGCCTGGCGTAATGGCACGCGACCCAATACGAGGCGGGATATGAAAATCCGCGCGTGAACCCCGCAGCGAGTCCCTAATAACACGGCATTAGCGGCGACAAAGGTTGCGGGCGGAGAGGAGCAGGCCGCGTTGATGGAGACACAGCCGTCCTTTGCTATGACACATTTCCTCAACTTTAGAAAGTCATCTATAATATATATAATATATATATATATATATATATATATATATATATATATATATATATATAAAAGTT